TGCAACTTGGTTTGAAGCTTGTTAGATGTCAGGTTGTTCAACAATGCCGAATGAATGTTATTCCAAGTGATATTTTGATATTTTATAAAAAATTTGACGAAGCAGTCAAAAATGTTCCAGCTGACTTTGTTTGTAACATGGATGAAAGTGGAGTAAGTGATTTTGTTGATAGAAAAAATACTCATACTTCGATTCCATCAAGTAGTAAATTAAATGTTGTAAGAGTTGGAGTTGATAGATCTATTGCTAAAATCTCTTTAATTGGATGTATTACTGCAAGAGGTGAAACTCTTAAACCAACTGTTTTAGTTTCATTGAATTCAACTTCTGCGTCTTTTGAAAGAGAAGGATATGACGATGAAAAGTTATTTATGATGAGAGCTGATAAGTCTACCATGGATTTTATGTTATCCAAAAGATGGTTAACTGAATTGTTTATACCTGAAATAAACAATAAAAGAAAACAAAAAGGATATTGTGGTAATTGCGTTCTTCTTATAGATAATTGTCCCAGTCATAAAGAAAATGAAATAAAATACTTATTGGAAGAAAATAAAATTAAACTTGTTTATCTTGTTCCTAATTCTACTGGGTTTATTCAGCCATTAGATGTTGGGATATTTAATAGAATGAAACGATTTTTAAATTCAAAGATTAGTTTACAATCAGAAATTGATGAAAGATTTGGAGATGCAACTAAATTTGAAAGATTAAGAACAAATGGAATTTCATCAATTAAAGAAAGAGATGGAATGGAAGAGTGTATAAAGAGTAAGAAAAGAAATACATCTTATTTAGTTCAGAGAAAAAAACAACTGGAAGATATTGATTTAAATATGGAAGAATTTGAATTTGATGAAACTGAAAGATCATTCAAATTATTCAAGACAATAATACAATCACTGGAATGTTGGGAAAGTGCTACTACTTTGAGAGGAATCATTTCTTCATTTCGTCAATGTGAATTTGAAACTCTATTGACTAAAAATGGTTGGTTTGTGAGATCAAATCCATTAAAATGTAGAGAATTAAAAAGAAGAGAAGATATGTGTTCAGAGATTATTAAATTTGAAATTAGAGATGTTAAATAAAAGAAAGTG